ACATACGCCCTACAATTTTAAATGAGAACAGTAGACATTTATATTTGTACAAAATTGAACAAGTAGACATAGGCAACATTTACCAGTCGCCTGCTTCATCTGCAGAGTTTCCTCTTGTTCATAGCAAAGAGAGCAGATTCGTTCAAGCAAGTTAATCACATTACCCTTTCTAGGGTAGGGGCACGGTACAATGTCATTAATTACTCTCTTTTGCTCCCTCACTCCTTGAAGAAGAGAGAACAACTGATCTTTCCTGGTCCTTTTGAACCAGAGTCCTACATGATAATTTGTGTCATATGTGGTGTCTTACATGTATTAGACAACATAGGATATGTGTGTTGCTTGTTCAACTTTATATAAATTTATTTGCCTATTTATACACACTCAATTCTAAACCAACATATTTTCTCCAAGCAAGGGAGGGTTACTATCGATCAGATGAGACTCTCAAGAGGGAACTATATTTCAATCCAAACTTCTTTTATTGAATATTTTGAGTAGTTGGACCGCATGGTCCCGTAATTTGGGCGTAACATACACCCTACAATTTTAAATGAGAACAAGTAGATATTTATATTTGTACAAAATTGAACAAGTAGACATATGCAACATTTACCTATGGCATGTTTCATCTGTAGAGTTTCCTCTTGTTCATAGCAAAGAGAGCAGATTCGTTCAAGCAAGTTAATCACATTACCCTTTCTAGGGTAGGGGCACAATACGATATATGTCATTACTCTCTTTTGCTCCCTCACTCCTTGAAGAAGAGCGAACAACTGATCTTTCCTGGTTCTTTCGAACCAAAGTCCTACATAAAAATTTGTGTCATATGTGGTGTATTACGTGTATTAGACAACATAGAATATGTGTGTTGCTTGTTCAATTTTATATAAATTTAATTGCCTATTTATACACACTCAACTCTAAACCAACATATTTTCTCCAAGCAAGGGAGGGTTACTATCGATCAGATGAGACTCTCAAGAGGGAACTATATTTCAATCCAAACTTCTTTTTATTGAATATTTTGAAGTCTCTCAAACAGTTAAAACTTATGCATTATGTAAAATCTATTATTATTTGCTTAAAAAAAATAAATTTGCCTTTTGATTAAAGGGGCAGAGCCAATGCATGGGCTATTTATACGTGATTAAAATTATTTTTTTATGTATATATAATTGATATTAAACCCCCTTGGCTACTTCTTATGTTTATTTTTTTTCGTAATTTGAACCCTTAATGAAAATCTTGGTTTTACTACTGTTTGGTATTTTCTTTAAACTTCAAGCACTATAACAAGTGAATACTATTTTAATATAATGATATTAACTTATCAAATTCAGCGCAACACTATTTCACATTATATGATCAACTTATCAAAATTTTGAACTAGATTTCATTATTCTGACTTTATATTATATTTTTTTCATTAAAAAATTGTATTATTTACATTCTTACTACATAAGGTCTACGTATGTATCCTACTCTATCCAGACATCACTTTTACAATTATACTAAGTATGTTATTATTATTTAATTTGTATATGTCAACAAAAGAAATATATTAAAACTTCTCTATAAAGTTTGACTTTAAATCCCAAATTCATTGAGACGACCTTGATAAAAAATATACAAGTTTCATTGATGTTCTAACGTTGAAAATGCATGCTATTGCTCTTTCTGTTTAAATACTCTGGTGTTCCTCTTTGACCAAATGGCATGAACATGTTCCATATAAACTTGCTTTAAAACTTGTGTTTATTTGTACTGATCTTCCTTTAGTCATTTTCTAGAGTTAATATCACAAAAGGTCACTCAACTTTGAGAATTTTTCTAGTAAAGTCATTAAACTTTATTTTGTACAATAAAATCATTCAACTTAGGTGTTTGTATCAATAAAATCAGTCAACTAAATTTATCATTAATTATATACTATATGATATTCTTTTTATTTATTTACATGCAATTAGATCCAAACTCATTCACAATTCTATCGATTAACCCAATTAAAAAACGCAACACCTTGTTTACTTAATTATATCGTGCTCATTGGATTGGCAGAGCTCTTAAACTTGTCTCTGTTTTCATCTTGATCTTTCATAGCCTGACTGAGAATGGATCCAAAGAAAGATAACTAGCAGCAATCTGCAACGACAGAGCTGGCAGTAAGCTAATAAACCTGCCCCCCTGTTAACCACCGTTTGTGGGTTTGTAGATTGATAGAGCAGAAGCTTATACATGAAAGAGTGCTATACCATACTTTTTTGGTGCTTTAGCTGATCGTACTGCTCTTTGGGAAGACCATGAACTGAGGGGGTTTGGAATGCATAGATTGTCAAGTAACAAAACATAGCTTTTTTTTAATGAGTAGAATTATGAATAAATTTTGGTCTAGTTATATATGAATCAATAAAAACAGTCATATATTTAATTTATTAATAAATTTAGTTAAGTGATTTTATTGATACAAATATGTAAGTTGAGTGATTTATTGATGCAAAACAAAGTTCAATGACTTTACTAGATAAATTCTTAAAGTTGAGTGACATTTTGAGATATTAACTCCATTTTCTATAGCCATTGTTGAGTAGAATACTCTTGTCGAAAAATTATACTAGTATACATGCAGCCTAGGTTAAATTCTATTACTTATTGATATATATATATATATACTTAGGGGTGTTAAATGAGTGGATTGTGTCGAAATTAGAGATATTAGAATGAGTTAAAATAGAAATTGTGTTAGGTCTTGACCCGCCGAAGTTTACTTTGGGATCAAATGGGCTAAAACTTGGGTTGGGCCATGACCCGCCCAATTTCACCCGCTTAATCTCAATAATTTTACATATTGTTATTTGACTTTTATTACCACAATTTGAATTTCAAGAAAATTTAAAAATAGAAGTTACAAACGGATAGATGAATCCTAAAAAATATAAAATAGATAGTAATTCATACCTTCAATATAGGAACATACATTATATCAATGCAAATAATGATTTTAAGACGGATTGAAATGGGAGATTAAATTGAACTCAATTGAGGATTCTTTTAAAATAGGTTAAGACTTAAATGGTTGGAGATTGAACCCAATTCAAATTATCTTGAATCCAATCATTAAAATTCTGAGCGAATTGAGTGGATTACCTATAGTTAGACTCATTTTTGACACCTCTAAACACATCCTTCGACGCGACGATAAGAGTGTTCAAATTTTCCCTAGAGATTCCAAATTTGAATCTGAGTGAATCCTGCATTATAATTTTATTTCATTTTTTTAGTTTTTGAAACTCATAAGCATACATACACTTTAGGAAGTACAAATATCAAAATCCTACAATTACTTTGAGAGCTAATTATAATTATCGCTCAGAATATTCTTGATAAAATAAATTGAAATTGTTAGTTAATTTTAATTTTGAAAATTTGTCAAGTTCATTAATATTACGATTTAAACTAATATAAATTTAGTTATATAAATATATATAATCTTTTAAAATATTTTTTATATAGACATTAATTGTATTTTACCAAATACATAATATACTTTGAAGGATAAAATTATCGGTTAACATTTTGCATAAAAAATGACGCTTTAAATTAAAAAGTAACTTTAAATTCTGAGCATAAATTAATAAATCAGTATTTATTTTCTTTGATTATCTGACCCATGTTTATATATCTAGGTCACTCCGTCACTGAATTAATATTTCACTTTATTAGTACTCCCTTTACTTTTCCTTAATAAAACCAACACAACTAAAAAAAAATGCTAGGTTAAACAAGATGAAAATGAACACACTATTTAATAAACTTTAATATTTTAAATATCTTATTTAATTTCCTTTTTTAATCTTTGTAGAAATAATTGGATGAAAATTTGATCAAAGATTAAATGTTTTTTAAAAAAATTTCTTTTAGATAGATGGAAACTCTTTAATTTTCTATTATTATTAGTATTATTATTCGAAAGAGAAAATGGAGAAGAAATTACAATGAGAAATCAAATTTCATTAACACAATTCAGTAGTCAACAACTGAGCTACTAAATTTTTTCTTTATTCACTTAAATGAGCCCATCGATAAATCATATATGTGCCCTTTATGTTGATCTCATTTTCCATATATGTCCTCCAACTTTGGGTGTGCACAAATAGACGCTTAAATTTGTATAAATTTGATCAAGTAGACACATGAACCCTACGTGACATAATACATGTAGAACACTATATATGACGCAAATTGTCATGTAGGATGCCACATAAGACGTGTGTGTCTATTTATTCAACTTTATACAAGTTTAAGTAATTACTTATGCATACCGAAAATTGAAGGACATAAATGTGAACTGAAACCAAGTTAAAAGATATATATTTACATATCATGCCAATATTTATTACTAGCTTTTTGAACATGAACCTATTTTTTTCTTCTAAAGTTTAAAAATACAACAAATCATGAATGTCCTACTATATTCACATAAGTTAGTAAAATTAAACTTGTTATATCTTCTGTCTCATTTTCTGTTACACCGTTTAACTTAACACAATATTTAAAAAAAAATGAATTTTTTTGAAACTTTGAAGTTTTAAAGAATCTCAGATATTTGTATAGTCGTAAATCAAATCATTTCAGTAGGGTAAAAGAGGAGTTTTAAAATAAAATTATTTCTAATTATAATAAGATCACATTCTTTTGAGATAAACAAAAAAGTAAAGGTTGCCACGTAAAATGGGACAATAAAAATATTTTTTTAATTAATACTAGTGTGCTTGAAAAAAAAAACCATACTAAGATATTTGTATAGTCGTAAATCAAATCATTTCAGTAGGGTAAAAGAGGAGTTTTAAAATAAAATTATTTCTAATTATAATAAGATCACATTCTTTTGAGATAAACAAAAAAAAAAAACATTGCCACATAAAATGGGACAATGAAAATATTTTTTTAATTAACCCATACTAGTGTGCTTGAAAAAAAAAACCAAAGTGTCAAAACATTTCAGGAGAAATGAAGCAAAGAAAGAGTCAAATTAGACTTCAGTCTCTCTCTCTTGTTCTCTTTCTCTCTCTACTCCTGCTTGTCTCCCTCCATTGATGATGATGATGATGATGTTCTTCTTCTGCAGAAACTGTTAAAATTTCACCCAAAAGGTACAATTTTTTGGAACTTATTTTAATTTATTATTTATTTTTCTGTAAATTAGTTTTCAAATGAATAAAATATTGTTATTACTTTGACGTATCGTGGGTAATGTATACAGACATTCATTGTTTGAGATTCTGCAATGTTTCCTTCTGATTTGATCTCTGTATATTTGTTGTTTTTACAGTTTTTAAATGGTTTTTATTAATTCATATTTATTTTTTTCAATTTGGTTATTCTCCAAATTATATGCATGTGGTTTGTGTATATAATAATGTAATGTATGTATAAGAGTCTCACTCACCTGCATGTATAGGTTATTAATGGAGATCTGGGTCTGATTTTGATTATTTTTTGGGGGTTTATGCAGAATTGTTTGGCGAATTTTACAATTGGTTCAAATTTTGTCCAGCTATGTGAAAAATGGGGGTTTTCCAGCTTGTAAATTGTTAAAGTTTAACCTAGGAGAGCAACAGAGGAGCTGAATTTGGCAGCATTGGGGGAAATTTTTCGGCCACGGTAAATACCCCTTTTCTTGTAGATTAAGTTTGTGAAGTGGGTTTGGTCTAAAATGGAATTTTTTGTCCAAGTGAAGCATATCAGGGAGCAAATTTATCCACATTGTCCGTTTCTTCAATGATTTTTCCCTTTGATTTATGGTTGTGGTTTCATTGATCAAGCAAACCTGAATGCTACACTAATGTAAGGTAGTCATATTCTGTAGGAAGCAAGAAGAGTTTCAAAGTGGAGCGTTGTTGCCAATGTCAAAATCTGCTTCCCCTGAATTGAGGGTCGGGAAGGTTTTATTCTCTTCTCAGAAGAACAGGTCTGTTACCCCCTTTCATGTGCATGTAAGATATGTAAATGTGCTACTTGGGTTGGTTTAAAATGTGTACCAACACATTAACTAATCAGAGAATTTGTTCCAGAACAATTCTTTTATATTTTTGCTTGAAGTTAAGTAGAGAAGTTTACTTCCTGGTGGCTGAGCTTTGCTGATTCATCTATCTTTTATTTTTTCCATACACAGAACACTTGGAGGACCAGGGTTTATTGGGCATATACAATCACTTAGTTGTTACCTTTTATTAATTGTTTTAAGACAGAAATCATTTCCACATTGCTTGCTTTAACTTTATCCCTTACGTGTTTCTTCAATTTATGAGGCATACTATGATTTATATTGACAATAAAAGATGTTATTTACTTCCAGTGAGGCCAATGGAACTGCTGAAATGGATGATCAAGAAAAGACAATGTCAACGGTTGCTCAACTTATTGAGCAGCTGCATGCAAATAAATCTTCCCCACATGAAAAAGAACTTACTACAGCACGCTTGCTCGGCATAGCCAAAGCAAGAAAGGAAGCACGAGGTCTTATTTGTTCACATGGCCAAGCAATGCCATTATTCATATTCATTCTCAGAAATGGCACTCCTTTGGCAAAAGTAAATGTTGCTGCAACCTTATCTATGTTATGTAAAGATAAAGACTTAAGGTTGAAGGTTCTTCTAGGTGGATGTATTCCACCTCTACTTTCAGTTTTGAAGTCGGATTCCACTGAAGCAAGGAAGGCAGCTGCAGAAGCAATTTTTCAAGTGTCATCTAGTGGCCTTTCAGATGATCCTATTGGCACTAAAATATTTGTTACTGAGGGTGTAGTACCAACTTTGTGGGAGCAACTTAACCCAAAGCAGAAGCAGGATAAAACAGTAGAAGGATTTGTGACTGGGGCCTTGAGAAATCTCTGTGGTGATAAAGATGGATATTGGAAGGCAACACTTGAGGGTGGTGGAGTTGACATTATTTTAGGACTTCTTTCTTCTGATAATGCTGCAGCTCAATCAAATGCAGCTTCGCTGTTGGCCCAAGTAATGTTGGCACTCAGTGACAGCATTCCCAAAATAATTGATTCTGGAGCAATCAAAGCTCTTCTAGGCCTCTTACATCAGAAAAATGATGTGTGTGTTCGTGCCAGTGCAGCTGAGGCTCTAGAGGTTCTTTCTCTCAAATCAACCAAAGCAAAGAAAGCTGTTGCTGACTCACAAGGTGTGCCAATTCTCATAGAGGCTGTCGTAGCTCCATCCAAAGAATGTATGCAAGGCGAAGGAGGAGAGCTTCTGCAGTGGCATGCGATACAAGCTTTATCCAATATATGCGGTGGAATGTGTGCCCTCGTGCTGTATCTTGGTGAACTTTCTCAGTCCCCAAGATTAGCTGCTCCTGTTGCTGATATAATTGGAGCACTTGCTTATGCTCTTATGATCTTTGAGCTCAATGCAGAAGAACGTTTTGACGCAACAAAGGTTGAGAATATTCTAATAATGCTTCTAAAGCCGCGGGATAATAAGTTGGTCCAGGAACGTCTCCTTGAGGCAATGGCAAGTCTTTATGGCAATGCTCATCTGTCAACTCTCGTCCACCAATCAGAATCTAAGAAGGTTCTTACTGGCCTTATAACAATGGCCAGTGGTGATGCACAAGAGTATCTGATACTCTCTTTAATACAGTTATGTTGTGATGGAGTGAGTATCTGGGATGCAATTGGAAAGAGAGAAGGAATTCAGTTACTGATATCACTGCTGGGGTTATCCAGTGAACAACATCAAGAGTATGCTGTTGAGATGTTTGCAATCCTAACTGACCAAGTTGATGACAGCAAGTGGGCAATCACTGCTGCTGGTGGGATTCCACCACTTGTTCAGTTACTAGAAACGGGGTCTCAGAAGGCTAAGGAAGATGCAGCACATGTTATGTATAACCTGTGCTGCCATAGTGAAGACATTCGTGCCTGTGTTGAAAGTGCTGGAGCTATACACTCGTTCTTGTGGCTTCTAAAAAATGGTGGACCAAAGGGACAAGAAGCATCAGCTAGATCCCTAACAAAACTAATCACTACTGCTGACTCGGCTACTATAAATCAATTGCTACTGTTGCTGAAGGGAGATTCACCAAGCTCAAAGGCCCATGTAATTAAGGTGTTAGGTCATGTGCTTACCATGGCATCTCAGAGTGACCTTGTACATAAAGGGGCTGCTGCTAACGAAGGGCTAAAATCACTTGTCCTAGCTCTGAATTCCTCAAATGAAAAGACTCAAGAATATGCTGCCTCTGTCTTGGCAGACCTATTCAGCAGTCGGCATGATATTTGTGACAGTCTCGCAGTGGATGAAGTGGTTAATCCTTTCAAGAAGCTTTTGACTAGCAAAACTCCAGTTGTTGCAACACAGTCAGCTCGAGCCTTGGGTGCTTTGTCCCGTCCAACAAAAGAAAAATCTACAAATAAGATGCTTTATATTGCTGAAGGAGACGTAAGACCACTGATTAAGTTGGCTAAAACTGCATCTATTGATTCTGCAGAGACTGCAATGGCTGCTTTAGCCAATCTGTTGTCTGATCCAGAGATAGCTGCGGAAGCACTGGCTGAAGATGTTGTTTCAGCTTTTACCCGAGTTCTAGGAGAAGGATCATTAGAAGGTAAGAAAAATGCATCACGTGGCTTTCATCAAGTATTGAGGCATTTTCCTGTGGGAGATGTACTGACGGGAACTGCTCAGTGTCGATTTGCTGTTCTCGCTATTGCAGAATCCTTAAAAGCAATGAGTGCAGATGGAACTGATGCTGCAGACGCCTTAGATGTTATTGCACTTCTTGCTAGGGCAAAGCAAGGCACACATTCGACATACAACCCCTGGTCTACCCTTGTTGAAGTTCCATCTAGTTTAGAGCCTCTTATACATTGCCTATGTGAGGGATCTCCAGTGGTACAAGATAAAGCAATAGAAATTCTATCCAGGCTCTGTGGAGATCAACCAGTTGTGCTAGGTGACCTGTTAGTGTCAAGATCCAGGTCAATAGGTGCATTGGCTGATAGAATAATGAACTCTAGCAGCCTAGAAGTAAGTGTTGGTGGGACAGCATTGGTTATTTGTGCTGCCAAGGAACACAAAGTTCAGTCAATGGATGCACTTTATGCATCTGGGTACTTGAAACCTCTTATATATGCATTAGTTGATATGATGAAGAAAAACTCTAACTGTTCTTCTCTAGAAATTGAAGTCAGAACCCCTAGGGGTTTCACAGAAAGAACTCCATTTGGGGAAGGAAATGAGTTTGAGGTTCCAGATCCAGCAATGGTCTTGGGTGGTACTGTTGCCCTTTGGCTGCTATCAATAATTTCATCATTTCATATAAATAGCAAGTCCACTGTTCAGGAAGCGGGGGGACTTGAGGCTCTTGCTGACAAGCTTGCAAGACACACTTACAATCTACAGGTAGACATTGTATAATTCTCACTTTGTCTTTGTGCTGCAGGCCTCTTCTTTAAGAACCAAATTTGATTTCAACTTGGAACCATATAAGTGTTGATTGGCTAATTTTATTCAGTACTTTTGGTTTTTGGACCTTGGTTCAGGTTATTATTCTTTGTGCGGTTTAATGTAGACTGATTGAATACCTGATGGAGCCGAGAGTTTGTCGGAAACAGCCTCTCTACCTTCACAAGGTAGGGGTAAGACTGCGTAGTGCGTACACACTACCTTCCCTAGACCCCACTTGTGGAATACACTGGGTATGTTGTTGATTGTGCAACTGATGGCCGCTATTGTAAAACTATTTAAAACTGTTGAATGTTTCATTTACCTGACTTAACCAACTATGTAGCATCTACATCGAGAATCCGAGTATTGTATACGTCATTAGTCTGATCCTTTGTAGGAACTACCCATAATAACGAATTCGCAAGGCTGTGAGGTATCATCTGTATCAATTACATACTTCTGGATTAGGGCCAACATTTATGTCTCACTTCATGTTTTTGGATCATGATAAAAACTAATGCATTTGAAGTGTCATGTCTCATCTTCTGTTATACTGATTTCTCTTTGTCTTGCCATGTGCTAGCTCTTGATAGAAACCACTTGAGTTGCTAAATGGAATTTTTTCTGAGTACCTGAATATGCAACTTTACCCTCTCAACTTTGGCAACTGAGATGAAATTAATGAAAAAATAATTAACAAATTAAAGAAAAGTTTGATAAGCAAGTAACTGATTCATTGTCACCTTTGTTGAGTCCAATCATCAGAAGTGATGAAGGTTCACATGCTCTTTTTGAAGTTTTTATCTGGTCAAGTGAACTGAAGAAAAATTTGTTATGGCAGGCAGAGTTTGAAGATGCAGAGGGCATGTGGATCAGTGCTTTGCTTTTGGCTATTTTATTCCAAGATGCCAATATAGTATCCTCTCCAACATCCATGCGTTTTATACCCTTGCTTGCACATCTTCTGAAATCTGATGAAATGATTGATCGATTTTTTGCTGCTCAGGCAATAGCTAGTCTTGTTCGTCAGAGGGACAAGGGAATAAATCTTACTATTGCGAATTCAGGTGCAATTGCTGGTTTAGTGAGCTTGATTGGTCACATTGAAATCGATATGCCGAATCTTGTTTCTCTCTCTGAAGAATTTTTATTGGTAAGAAACCCTGATCAGGTTGCCCTGGAATATCTTTTTGAAATTGATGATGTGAGAGTTGGTTCAACTGCGCGCAAGACTATCCCTCTACTGGTAGATCTGTTAAAACCACTGCCTGATAGACCAGGTGCACCTCCATTGGCTGTGTGTCTCTTGATACAAATTGCAGATGGTAACGATGCAAACAAATTAATCATGGCTGAAGCGGGGGCGCTGGAGGCTCTAACGAAGTACCTATCTTTGAGTCCTCAAGACTTGACTGAGGCAACTATTTCTGAGCTACTGAGAATACTCTTCAGCAATTCTGATCTTCTCCAGTATGAAGCAGCAGTTAGTTGCACGATACAACTGATTGCTGTTCTTCATTTGGGGTCAAGAAATGCAAGGCTGAGTGCTGCTAGGGCTTTAAATGAACTTTTTGATGCTGAGAACATCCGAGATTCTGAAACATCAATTCAAGCCATTCAGCCATTAGTTGACATGCTTGATGCTGCATTAGAAAGTGAAAAGAAAGTTGCTCTTAGCGCCTTGGTTAAGTTGACATCAGAAAGTGATTCAAAAGCATCACTGATGGCTGATCTAGAAAGGAATCCCCTTAAGAGTCTACATAAGATTCTTTCTTCAGCTTCTCCATTGGAACTGAAAAGTGATGCTGCTGAGCTATGCTTTGTACTTTTTGGTGATCCAAAAATCAGAGCATTGCCGATTGCTTCTGAATTTGTAGATCCCCTAGTAATGCTAATGCAATCTGATGCAGAACGGGCTGTGGAATCAGCAGTTTGTGCTTTTGAGAGCTTGTTGGATGATGAGCAGCTGGTGGAGCTTGCATCAGCTTATGATCTTGTTGATCTTCTGGTTCATCTGATTTGTAGCTCAAACCACCGGCTCAGCGACGCGAGTATTTGTGCACTTATTAAGTTGGGTAAAGACCGAACTCCCCGCAAGATGGATATGGTCAAAGCAGGCATAATAGAAAATTGCCTTGAGCTGCTCCCAACTGCATCCAGTTCCCTATGCTCCACTATTGCAGAACTCTTCCGCATATTGACAAATAGTAGTGCTATTTCGAAAAGCACATCTGCTGCAAAAATTGTAGAACCTCTCTTTATGGTTTTACTACGGTCAGATATTGGACTGTGGGGACAGCACAGTGCTTTGCAGACTCTTGTAAATATTCTAGAGAAGCCACAAAGTCTTTCAACTCTGAATCTTTCTCCTAGCCAGGTAATTGAGCCTCTGATTTCCTTTCTTGAATCACCATCTCAAGATATCCAGCAACTTGGAACCGAATTGTTATCTCACCTCCTTGCACAAGAGCATTTTAAGCAGGATATAACTACAAAAAATGCTGTAGTGCCTCTTGTGCAGCTAGCAGGCATTGGTATTTTGAACTTGCAACAGACGGCAATTAAAGCTTTGGAAAATATCTCATTAAGCTGGCCAAAAGCAGTTGCTGATGCTGGCGGTATTTTTGAGCTTGCAAAGGTTATTGTTCAAGACGACCCTGTACCGCCTGCATTGTGGGAGTCAGCAGCTATGGTTCTCTGCAATGTCCTATGCTCTAACTCTGATTACTACTTCAAAGTTCCCCTGGTGGTTCTTGTAAAGATGCTGCGTTCAACAGTCGAGACCACCATTACTCTTGCACTAGATGCACTTATAGTTCATGAAAAGGCCGATATTTCATGTGCGGAACTGATGGCTGAAGCAGGCGCAGTTGATGCCCTTCTGGATCTGCTAAGATCTCACCAGTGTGAAGAAGCATCGGGAAGATTACTTGAAGCCCTTTTCAACAATGTCAGGGTACGACAGCTGAAGGTATCTAAGTACGCAATTGCTCCTCTGGCACAATATTTGTTGGATCCACAATCTAGATCGCAATCTGGTAGGCTTCTTGCAGCTCTTGCTCTTGGTGATCTCTCCCAGCATGAAGGACTAGCTAGATCGAGTGATTCTGTCTCAGCCTGTCGAGCTCTGATAAGCTTACTTGAAGATGAACCAACAGAAGAAATGCAAATGGTGGCAATTTGTGCATTGCAAAATTTTGTAATGAGCAGTAGAACAAACAGGAGAGCTGTTGCAGACGCAGGTGGAATTTTAATGGTTCAAGAACTGCTTATAGCCCCTAATTCAGAAATTGTAGTACAAGCATCTCTGCTCGTAAGGTTTTTATTCTCAAATCACACGCTTCAAGAATATGTATCAAACGAGCTTATCAGATCTTTGACAGGTAACTTGCTTGTTAAGTACCCCCCCCCCCCCCCCCCTCTTTTTTTCTTTTTTTTTTTTTGATTACTCTATATAATGAAGAAAAAGCTGGCCAAATGATAATTGTAGCCAATGCGCATGTTCTTTTATTATTATTATAAAAAACATAGGAAAAAGATCTGACAATCTTTAATTTTCTTTGGTCATAATGTGGGATCCACAAACATTCCCCTCGATAATCGTGCAAAGGAATAATCACTCCCACTTCACTACATTTTTCAATTAATATATTATTTTTATGAATATATAAATCTTTTGCAAAAAAACCACTCTATTTCCAATCTTTTGATGATGATTAATCATGTTATAATAACTATAGTTCAATCTGAAACAACTTCAAATCAACTATACGAATTTCTCGTGATCATTTTTAAGGTAATAAGAAGAGTTTTCAGGTGATCATATAAATTTTCACGGATCATTACAAGTTTTAATAATAATTCTCTCTCAGGTTCATCTACATAAATTTTGTTACGACTAGCTCCAATTGTTGAGTCTCCCACATCGGCTAAGAGATATGGGCCCTTCGACTTCTCTTCATATGAGTACTCGTCACAAATTTAAAGAGAAAGCAAGACTTTTGAAACTTGTGATCTAAAACTAGTCTTAGACATTTGTGTGGCTATAATCATCTCATTAAGGGTAAAAGATTTTTGAAGTTAAATTGTATGTAAGACTAGCCTTAGACATTTGTATGGCTATAAATCACCTAAATAAATGAGAATTTTGAAGTTCATTTTTTTCTAAAGGTGACATTCTTTTTGGAATAAACTAAATAGGAAAGTGTGCCACATAAATTGGGACAAAGGGAGTACTTTTTTTTATTTTTTATTTTTGGAAGTCCGATGACGATGAAGCACCTACATCTGGTGAAGAGCTTTTATGGAAATATACATGAACCATCCAAAGCCTACACGAAAATAATGTTACATGCAATCTGCTAAAAACCCAGAAAAGGAGTCTTCAGATGTAAATCTCTGTTCCAATATTTTACCCTTAGAAAGTTTATGCTGCAATTATTTTTCTTTTTATGTCCCCACAAGTTAAAGTAGGGTAAAGTCTTGAAACAATAAATTGAAAGCTATAGCTTTCCAGTCATTTTAGAAGCTATCACTTAATTGAAAGCTACAGATTCAGAGCCATTTTCAGAAACTAGATCTGTAAACTAAAGATAGTGCTTCAAAGAATTGGACAGCTGACAAAAGGAAAAACATAAGTGCACTAGATTGGTAGACATAAGACCTAATGCCATTAAATAAAACAAACCTACTTATAAAAAATTAAAATAAAACAACCATATTAAGTAACAAGATGTCAAACCGTTACCCGATGCATATTCTTTCGTTGTCTAATTTTGCTTGTAGCGCTCCAATGCAGCTATTAATCTTTCTGATCTATGAATTTCGAAACTCAAATTTTCCATGATCTAATGTCTTAAGCTAACCAAATCCTAAATCTTTGTTGCATGCCTATTGTTCTCATCTCTTTTTTGTTCCTTCTTCATGTCATGACTGTAGTACAAGTATTTCCTTTTCCTCTTATTTGCTAAAAACACTTTAAAATTCCTTGAAATGCAGCTGCACTTGATAAGGAATTGTGGAACAAGGCAACTGCTAGTGAGGAGATTCTGCGGACCATTCATGTTATATTTTCTAATTTTCCCAAGCTCCATGTTACTGATGCTGCTACACTTTGTATCCCTCATCTGGTGGCAGCATTGAAGTCTGGTAGTGAGGCTGCACAGGATTCAGTATTGACTACACTATGCTTACTCAAGCAATCATGGTCAACCATGCCAATGGATGTGTCAAACTCACAAGCAATGGTTGCAGCTGAAGCCATTCCAGTATTGCAGATGCTAATGAAGACTTGCCCACCAAGTTTCCATGATAGAGCAGACAGTCTGTTGCATTGCTTACCAGGTTGTTTGACAGTCACAATCAAGCGTGCAAACAATTTAAAGCAGGTGATGGGAGGAACTAATGCTTTTTGTCAATTGACTATTGGAAATGGTCCATCACGGCAAACAAAGGTAATGAGCCATCACTTTATAATTGTTGATGAAGCACAAAGGCTTTTGTTATTCTAAAATTTGATTTTACTTTTGAAATCATTCACTTATCATGAGAATGACAATTTTGTACAATCACAGCCTACATCAACTATACTAGGGGTATATGCATTAAGTACCATCACAGCTACTCTGAGTATAGTAGGGTATGTGTATTACACTGTCACGACCCAAACTAGGGGCAGTGACCAGCACCCGACGGGCCTGGCACTTGTAGAGCAAATCCTGTTCAACTAGTTATAAAGCATGAACATCCCGTACAAAGGTTCAAAGCTATCACATAGTTGAATTAAGTCTCGTGAGATGTAGCTCAAATACAATATCAAGTACATATAAACATATCCACCGTGAGTCAATGGAGACCCTACAGAATACATTACATATATGTAGGAATGGGACATGTCCCGACATGTGAATTACAGCTACATACCCACTGTAATCGCACAAGTGGCGTTTGGGGATGGTAGGATGTGTGCAGGCCTTACCTTTACCTTTGTGGGTAGAGAGGTTGTTTTTGATAGACTCCCGACTTAAACGAAGTGTAATCAGAGTAGAATTGGAAGGAAAATAATGGGAGCAAAATAGCAAGATACACAGAGCAAATGAAGCTTGAAAGATGGTGCTGTTTCCTCTTTTTAGGTCTTGATGTTTCATGTCTATATATAGGTGGGGTGTGGGGTGTGGGGGTTGAAGGCTTTATTTAATTGGTAGAGTAGTGACAGTTTAGGGATCCTCTAGAATTGCTTAAATTCCAAGTGATCCTAGACTTAGATATTCTAAAAGTCAATGAAGTCGCTGGTGGTTGGAACATTTGTATCTGGAATATACTATATTAAAGAATATAATTACCCCATCCAAATATTATAATTCCCTAGTTTTTTTTTTCCATTAAAAAAATATCAAATTGTGAATCCTTTACAAATGTAATCCTTGTACCATAATCTCTCCACTATTTCTTTTTAAAAAATGTAGAGCATCGAAGATCAACTTCCTATTATAAATATAATCTCAAAATTAGGAAAAGAAATATAAAATGATTTTTCGTGTGAGGAAGAAATAGAATGTCGTCTCACATTACTTAGATTCTCAGCTCTGGGTGTCGAGACATTACTTTGAAGGTATTTAAGGCATGCGATAGGGGTGCTACATGCACATTGCTTGTGTGGTTGAATGTTTAATTACATGATATCTTATATAACTCTTTGCATAAGACAGTGATGAGTATTGAGTTCCATGGATCTCTATAGATAATCACTATGTTGCTAGTACTCTTTAAAAATATTGTCAAGTGCGTATTGAATCCTCCAAAAGTAGTATATTTTTTAAGGATCCAACATGGATGCGTCGGCATATTTGAGAAGTCCGAGAAACACAGGATAATCATATTAAGCTCATGCAACAATTATAAGATCCAGTCATGCTAAGAACATTTTTTGTGATATTTTTGGGTGGTTTCTTTTCTTTCCTTTTTTATTCTGAAATTTTATTCGACTTGCAGTTTACTTGATTATACTTCATAGGAACTTCCAAAAGAGGAATGTTTAGGTTTAGGAATGTGTTAAAGAACCTTATATATATAACAGCTTCTTGTTTTGGTGATCTGCATTTCATATTAACAATCCATGGTTCATGATTAGGTTGTGAGTCATAGTACATCACCAGAATGGAAAGAAGGCTTCACATGGGCTTTTGATGTACCACCCAAGGGACAAAAGTTACATATCTTGTGCAAAAGCAAAAACACATTTGGGAAGGTAAATAGCTTTATATTCTGAATGTCTGGTGTGAAGTTTATATTCTTTGACCAATAAACTTCCAGTTAGAACACCCTTCGGGGTGTCCCAGTGGTTTGGGCTTGGGACTTCCATGTTGGAGGTCTCAAGTTCGAAACCCCTTGCGAGTCAGATCACTCTTACTTAATATCAGTCTCAGCATTTCTGATGTGTATACTTTTGTTTCAGACCACTATCGGGAGGGTAACAATCCAAATCGATAAGGTTGTTAGTGAAGGCATGTACAGTGGCCTTTTCAGCCTCAGCCAGGACAACAACAAGGATGGCTCATCACGGACTTTAGAGATTGAGATTAGCTGGTCCAGTAGGACTCATAGCGATAGTGAGTGAAGAGAAGCAAGACATAAATAACGCAAACTTGAGGACCCAAAGTCGGAGCTGAACCTGGTAAAGAACAATCTCTTCATACTCCAGCCTAATGCAAGAGCTGTTGGGGTAAAGTCCAAGTTTTTTCATATCTAAAGCTCTGCTACCTGTGTTGTAACTATAAAAAGTAGTAAGATATTTGCAAGTACAGAAAAGTTGAGAGAGGTTCCCATGGTACAAGGTAAGTCTTACACCTAGCTTTTAAGCACCAAATTGTACAGTTTCTGCAGTTCTTAGAAATATCAATATCAAATAGAGTCATGAAGAGAAAAACGAATCCTGTTTATTTCAAATCCCAGTGGTGTATTTGTAATGCAAAGTAGCAACAAATGCCAAAGGTGATTGCTGTGCAGAAGGCCTGGCACAATAAAGTTTATTAGTTTTGCTTCATTCTTTTCAAATTTACTTCCTTACTCTGTCCAACTAGATTTTCAGCTTGACAAGTGAAGTGGGATTAGTTTGATCAACATGACAAAATTACTAATTTGCAGCAACTACTAGTGCAGATCTTGCTCGTTCAACAGCTATTTTGGCAGTTGAACACAAAATATGTGCATTTGAATCTTGATGAATCAACAGCTTTGGGGGTATGTCCTGTCAGTTACCATCTTAACATAATTGGTTTTGAGAGATAGAAGAGGGAAATGGAAGTTGCAACAAATTAAACCACTTGTCAATTAATCTCTCAGTCGACAATGGTAGAGATGAAATTATATACTCTCCGTTTCAATTTATTTGTCTTTGTTATTGAGCATGAAGTTTAATTAGAAAGTAAGATAGACTTTCGAATTTTGTCAAGTCTTAAATTAAAAAATGGCAATATGTATAAGATATATATATATATTATTGTAAATTAGATGGTCCAATGGTATCGAGCTGTAATGTACTCTTAAAGATATGTATAACGTACCAAAATATCTCCTAATCGTGGGTCTTAAATATGTCAGGTGGGATCTTGGAATTATTGACGATTTTGAAAGACATTTTAACAAATAAAGAAAATAAATTGAAATAGAGAAAGTAATAATTATTAGTTGGATATTAAAAGATTACAACATTTTCCAATCATTGTATTTTAGTAGTAGTAAGCTTTCCTTGATTTCCAGATGATTTGCCCAATTGAGTAAAGGGTCGATATCTGCAAATAGAGGTTCGCTAGCCTTTTTCTTTCATGCCCCAACCTTTCTCTCAATCATTAATGGCTTACGTACAATCTCTCAATCATTAATGGCTTATGTACAAGTTAGCATTTCTACGTGCTCCTGATGTCAAATGGACGGGTTGAGTTAAAATTTGAGATATTAAAATTGATTGAAATAGATATTGGATTGGTTTTTTGACCTGTTCAAGTTTATTTTGGGTTCAAATGGGTTTAAAAACGTACTGAGCTTTGACCCACTTAATTTCAATAATTTTAATATATTGTTTTCTAAGTTTTATAACCACAATTTAAATTTCAACTCAAGAAAATTTTAAAAAAGAAGTTATAAATGAATAGATAAATCTTAAAAGATATAACATAGATTAATTAATACCATGAATAGAGATTCAACCAATTCAAATTATCTTAATGCCCAACCCTTAAAATTCTGAACGGATTGAGCAGATTGCCTATAATTAGGCTAATTTTGAACAGCTCTAAATTATATACATATACGCAGAGTTTAAATATTCCTTATAATTTGTGAGTATCAATCAAATACTTCCACAAGTATACTAATAAATCCAATAAATATATCATTTCACAACTTAGTTTTCTACTAATTTTTCTTCCTTCTACTAAAAACTATATACGACCAATTTGTTTTGTTTTTTTCTTTTCTCCAAAACAAAAAAAAATAGCCAATGTGAAAGCAAATGGAAAACCCAAAGATGCTACTTTTTTTCAATTCCTACAAATCATCGGCACGTGCCAAGTCATCGACTTCAGTCTCATTCGCACGTGCGATCGAAAAAATTGAAAATCGGCGGGCCCCACTTAAAACGGCTTTTGCAGATACATGAATATATCTTGTAGCGGTGACATCTCATAACAACTCTGCAACTCAGAAGTAGTGGCATCTGTGTAATTAAATGGAAAATCAAGGGCAGTTTTTTCCCACTCATTCAGTTTCACCTTCGGCTCGCTCTGAACTTCCTTCTCGCATGTGAACTCCGGCGAAGGTACGTGCTCCGAGCAGCTGGAATCGGTGTGAAGTTTTGGAAGAGAATCCGATGAATCAAAGTACGTGAAGTCATTGTAAACGTGGTACGACGTCGAAGACGGCTTTGTTGAAACTGAATACGGCATAATCTCCGGCTTTACATCACCTTCACTCACCGCCGGCGACATTTCAACATTCATTTTTCGAATATTCAGTTGATTCTTCTCAGTTGTACCCTTCTTATTGTAGATTCGACATAAAACCCAATCGTCGAGCTAAAAACAAAGAAGCAAACATTCGATTAGTCAAAAATGATCAAATCTCAAATCACTGAATTCAGGTCATTTTACTCACTCTTAAGCTGTTGTTCTTGTTACGAGCAGATCGATCAACATGAGCAAGTCGATATTCGTGCATAATCCAATTTGTTTTTTCTCCCTTCGGAGCTTTGCCTGCGTAAAACACCAAAGCTTTCTTAATTCCCATCGATTTTGGACGACCAATCGGCTTATCCGCACCCGTCGCCTTCCAATATCCATTTCCCGCAGCTCGATTCGGCCGTGAACCGTTCGGATACTTCCGATCTCGCGGCGAAAAGAAATACCACTCTTTCTCACCATACAAAGCCAAATCTGAAAAGAAAAAAAACAAAAATCCTCATCAAAGTTGTGTACAAAAACAACAGCAGAATAAAATAAAATGATGAAAAATTACCAGGTAGATCCCATGGATTATACTTGTAGAGATCAATTTCAGCTATAATAGGAACAGCAATCGGCTGTGAGGCGCATTTTCGACATAAATAGTGCATCACAAGCTCTTCATCAGTTGGATGGAATCGAAATCCAGCAGGAAATTGCAATTCCACCATTACTTTTTCTTCAAAAAATGATATGATTTATGTTTGTAGTTACAGAGAAAGAGGTGCTTTTGAAAATTGAAACGTAGAACACAGGGGAGGAGAAGCAAATATATAGGAGGTGAAAGGGACACGTGGCTAGAGAAGGAGGCAGGGCCTAGAATAAACGTGAGAGAGTGGGAAAAAAAGAAAAGTAACATAAAAATGTAAAAATAAAGTAGATGGACACGTGTCAACACATTAAGTGGGTATGTGGATAAGTAAGATGAGTAGGACCAACAGGATTTGTGGTGCATTTATGGGAGTGTTTCACCCTTAACCACTGATCTCGAGTTCGAGCCTTGAATATGAAGAAAATCTTGTTTGGAGCGGCAGCTTCAAATTGATCCTGCACTGCATGATCCAATTTTAATCGAAGCTTTTAATGTGAATTCCAGACACCGATTGAGAAATAAAATAAGATGAGTGAGATTTTGTCACTGCTTACGCATTTCATTTTGTATGGGAGTGGTAAAATGAGAAAGTAGGCGGAAATAGCCTTGATTTTTGGAGTGAAGAGTAAAAAAAGTTAGTGGAGGTGGAGGTATATTTGGGGATTGATTTGACTAAGTCATCACTTTTTTAGGTTGACAAAGCATTTGGGGTTCCCTTTTAAGTTTATTGGTGTAGGCACAACGAGGATGGTGATAGAGTGATTGAATATATTATCTTATGATTAATTAAAAAAATTAAATTTGTGTTTTTTAAATATAAAATTATTTTTATTAGAAAGTGTTTACTCTTAATGTGTGTGATTTTTTGATATAAATTTAAATTTAATTGAACTCTGATAAATCGGACACTAAATAAAAAATTAACTTATTTTTTAGTGGTGTGTGCACAAATTTTATCGTTATTTTCAATAGGTTCTCGGTTTAAGAAAAAAATAAGTCAAAGCAAGATAGAGGGAAATAACAAAAAAGGAGAAAATCTTGGCAAAAACTTACTAATATGCAATCTGTCAAATCATCATAAACAATAGTCATAATAAGATAAAACAATAATAGAAGTATAAACAAATCATAGATATCAACCAAACTCTAAGGATAAAAAAGTTAAAACAACATAAAAAAATAAAGAGAAACAGTACTCAATTATCTAATAACGTCGTATCTTAATTTGAGTTCTCCATAATCTCCTTAATATGGCTTGCACGCATTAAGTTATTAGAGAGTCACTCTCAATAGCGTCAAATATAGTGTTCTATTGGACATTTAGTATCTATTCAATTCAAAGATAAGAGGGAACATTAAACACAGATTATGATTAATTAGCTAATTCATTGTCAGAGCATATAAACAACGGTTGCGATTAATATTTTCTTTTTAATTTTGTTTAACGACAAAAAATAACTCCGAATTACTTTTTTTTTTAAAATATGGTAGCTTGCTTTTGTACCATCTCGACCTAATTAATTCGATTTCAAACCTAGTAATATACAATAATATAGTACCACTCTAGGGATCTAATGCTCCTTATGGTTTTTTTTTGTTTCAACTTAAATGAATATATCATTTTTTTTAGATCGATTAAAAAAGTGAATCATATCAATTGAGACAGATAAGTATTAGACAACATACCTAGTTGGATGACCATTTTAGGATGACCAAAAAGATAATATGATACTCACTTTTTTTAAAGCCAGAAATTAAAAAATAGCTTTTTTCATAAGTAATTTTGGACATTGACCAAATATAAAATACTGCTTTATAATATTAATATAAAATAATTTATTACTCTCCCAAAATAAGCTCAGGTTGGTTTTTTTCGGGGGGGGGGGGGGGGGGGGGGGTTTGCAAGGTGTCT